GATCAATCAGAGACACCTCTAGTCATTACCAATTCATAGTGACTGAAGCTGCTGATATAGCACAGAGAATTTTAACTAATTTATACTTTAAGTAGTTTTATCCAAAGCAAAGTGATAATAGGTAATATTTGTTTTCTTTTCATATTTTTCATCAGGAAAAGAAAAGCATCCCAAGGAAGTGAGCAGTCCATGCATAGTGATAAGAATCATTCTCCACAAGATGGTTCTACCATTCAGGAGCCCAATAGACTTGGGCCTCTCCATCAGATTTTCCACAGCATAGTTACCACACCATTAGTTATGTGTATGTGTTTTATAAACTATTATTCTTGGAACATGAAAACACTCCCATAAGCTACTGTGTTTCAACTTGGTCCCTAACTGGTGGGGCTCTTATGAGAGGTTCACGAACCTTTAAGAAGTGGGAACAAAATAAAGGACTTGGTCTCTGGGCTCGGGGGAGGGGGATTGTAGCCCATCCTTCCTGTCTGCCATAGCTCTTTCTACTTCCCTTCTGCCAGCACAATAGGAATATCGCTTAGCACCTGTCACCTCAGCAAACATGCTTTCCCTGCTATGATGGACAGTGGCCCATGAACTGTGAGACAAAATACCCTCTTCTCCCTTAACTTGTCAGGTAAACCATCCAGAGCCTCTTTTACATTATGACATATACCAACTCAGTAACTATACCACCAAGCAAAATGTGTGAAGGGAATTGTGAGATTCAAATAAGTTAAGCGCAAACACATTATAAACAACAAAGTAATCGATTCACCATTTGATACATGGATGGTATTTTATTGATAAGTAGATAAAGAAATCCTTATCCATTGCTTGTTTACAATTCAAGATATTCAAATGTCATATGCAAACTTCAAGTCCTTAGCAGTTAACATTTTCATGGCATTATTATCATGCCAAGAATAAGTGAAGACTGATGGTACACAACTATGCTTCCCCAAATTGGGAAGTTTCAGGAGGAAGATCAGGAGTTCAAGTCTGGCTATATAGGGAGTTTAACAAGCCTGGGCTACATGAAATCCAGTCTTTAAAAAAGATGAGGAGGAATTTTACTGAGCTAATGCAAGGTAAGTCATGTCACAAGGTCAGACATGCCCTAGAGGACAAAACTGGGTTGCAATTTTAACACATTTTGCTTTAAGGTGTTAATTTAAAAATCATAAAACTAAGAGAGCGCAACAAAAAACTGCCTAATTTTTTTTTCTCTTTGGGTTGAATAATTTTGATGTCCATCAAGAAAGAACTGAATGTAGCCCGGCATGATGGCATACGCCTTTATCTCCAATACTTGGGAGGCAGAGACAGGTGTGTCATTACAAGTCCAAGATCATCTTGTTCTACATAGAGATCTCCAGGCCAACCTGGGCTACAGAAAGACCCCATTTCAACCAAACAAACAACAAAAGCAAAACTTCCACTGTGGGTATAGTTGAACCAGTACCATGACTGCATCTAGCCATATGTTGAAAACAAATAGTTAGGAAAGCGTTGTAAAGATCTTTTTGATTAAATAATTTGAAATGGTTAAAAAAAAAAAAGATGACGAGGAGCAGTCTTCTATTTAAAAAGGAGGCAATGACTCCCCTTTTGCATATTTCTATTCAAGGGATAATTCACTGGTTATAATTCTGGGCCAGAAAAAATGTTCGACTAAATAAATAAGAGAAAAACAAACTTCTCCTATCATAAAGTTAGAATTGCTCATGAGACTTTCAAGGGGCATACTCAGTAACTGCTGTCATTGGTGTGTTCTCTGCAAATCCTGGGTATTTTGAGAGAGCCCATCAGTTAATTGTAAAATTCCTCCTCTTTAAATTAAAAGGTAAGTTTCAAAGAAGTTGCTATTACTACTACAAGAGCGTAAGTATAGAATACTGATTGAAATTTGGAGATTTTGTCAGACCAATATTTAATTGTGTCAATATTGAGTTCTTGTAGTTCTAATTTGCTTATGGTATGATTAGTCCCAGAGTGAACAACGCAGGTATATCACCTTGTGGTAGTGATAAGAAGAGATCATAATGTGATTCCAGGAGGGTGCAGTGAACCAAGGAAGTAAGCCATCCCATGGGTGGAAAGAACGTTTATTGGAGAAAGTTCAAAGGTGCCACTTGGGTCAGATAGAATAGCCGAAGACATTTCAAGGAGTACAAAGTTACCTCTCAGGAGGCAGAGAGGATTACAAGAAGACAGAAATAGTCCTGCTAGTCATAAAACAGGAAAGGAAGCCTATAAACTGGAACAGTCTAGATGGTTTTGGGGGAGGGAAGGGCGAGGTGATTTTGCAGGCCAGAAGAGCCTAAGGACTTTGATATGTGTTACTGGTATGTGCTAATAAGGACCTAGATAGCCCATTTGCTGGACGTAGGGGGGAATTTAAAAAAACAGTAGCCCTTCCTGGCAGACAGAAATGCTTTGCACAGGTTTCTGAGGAATGGTTAAGTGTAAGTTTTTAATTTACCCTCAAATAATCCTGCTGTTTATCCTGTCAGACTCCAGCTTCCTCTCAGACTGCCATTTTGTCTTTTAGAACAATGTCAGCGGCACTGACATTTTGGGGATTTGAGGTTTGGTACCTAACACTTAAGTGTCTTTTGTATATCTATCATAAACTTTCTTATATATGAAAGTATAATATTGTTATTAGATCTGTGTGGCAGAGTCGATAAAGTCACACCATGAGACAGGATTCACATGTTTATTCCGGGAGGGGGTAAGGGATACAGATCTTGCCTCTGGTGGAGATGGAAGAAAACAGGGGTGAGGGGAGGAGGAGCGGAGCCTTTTATCAGGGGATATAGCGCATGCACTGGAGGGCATGGGACATATCGGCAACAGCGGAACTGTATTGCCTCTTAGCAGCTTCTAATGAAATGTCCTGCTATTCCCCGGCCCCTTGGGCTGGCTGTGGAGGTGCCTGATTGTTAACAAAGATCCCTTCAGATGATAAAAATACATGGTAACTTATATTTTATGCATTTTACTTCAATGAATAAAACAAAGCATACAGGAAACCAGCAAGGAGTTTATTGTGAACTGAGGGAGCCTCGGGGACACATAGACTTTTCTATATCACATGAAGAATCATTTTCATGAAGTCGTTTTACTTAACAGCAATCCCTCTAAGTTTCTTTTTCTCGGTCTGGCTGAGATATTCAATAAAGCTGCTTGCATATGAGCTTCCTCGTAACAATCACCACTTAATAGTTCACAGAATAACTAATGATTCCCAACACTACAGCTAATAAAGGTGTCACTGTCTGAGATAGGCTGAAATTCAGTAGGAATGTGTATGATCAAGAGCCATGACATTGACAAATCTGTTATCCCGGTTGTACTAATTATTATATTAATCAATAAAATTAAGCACTGTCAAACTTGATTCAAGGGGCTAGAGATATGGCTGAGTTGGCCGAGGGCTTGCCTAAAATACCCAAAGCTCTGTTCTCAGTTCCAACAGGCATTAACAAGTATAGCTGTATACGATTTACAACCCTGGTGCTCGGGAGTCAGGAAGATCAATACTTCAAAGTTAACCCTACATATAGTGAGTTTCAGACCAGCCTTGGCTACATGAGATCTTGTTAGGAAGGAAGGAAAGCTGGAAGGAAGGAAAGAAGGAAGGAAGGAAGGAAGGAAGGAAGGGAGGGAGGGAGGGAGGGAGGGAGGGAGGGAGGGAGGGAGGGAGAACAGAGAGGAAGGAGGGAAGAGGAGACAAAGTCAGGTGATTAGTAGTGCATCTAAAGAAAAAAATGATTATGTGAGAAGAAGCTTACCACCTTGCAAAGATTTGCACACACATACACACACACATACATGCACGCCCTCATGTACATACATGCATGCACACATTCACACACACATACAAGCACACATACACACACAGATACACACACACACACACACATTACAGTGCTACTGGTATAGATGAGACTCTTGAAAAGATTAGGAAAGAAATAATCTTTAAAATATTAAAAGGCTTGGCCTTCCATTTTAAATTTGTGTTTAAATCCAGGAGCCTATTAGAAGAAATTGCACGTGACAGACTAGGTGACAGAAGTTTTACTCGTGAAAGCTCAAGTCCATGAAAAGCCCATCTGTGGGTCATACAGTCTAAGTGAAAAAGGAATTAACCCCTCATTCCCAATACAAGTGTTGGACAGATATAAGTGTTACATTGCATTCATTGCTGTGAGTGGCTTTCTTGTTTGTCTCTTACTGGACAGAATCAGATGATTATGCAGACATCATTGCACATCGCGCATAGATGTACATAGACATGAAGTAACAGAAAAGACGTGCCTAAACTAAACTCAAGTGCATGGCAATAATTTCTCCTATTGTTGATTTAGACACTGTAGGAAGATCATCATGAACTGCAACAAAAAGTTACAAGAGAATGACATAGCGTGCCCCAATGGTCTTTCTTTTCTATTACCTGAGGCCTAGGACAGGGGGAGAATAGATCTTCTCCCACAAAGGCAGAAAATCTCTTTCACTGAAGAAAGAAAATCAATTTTCCTCAAGCAGATAATTCAATCACAGAGCAGATAAAGGCCTGAGACAAGTATTGCAGAGACAAGGTGCAGGGAGACATGTCGGAACCTGAAAGGTAATTCAGCAACAAGTCAGTGTTTGGATGTGGATGGGGGATATGATGGCAACTAGTGTACCTAGAGATGTCTTACGGATTTCATTAAGTAAACCCAGTAACTCTGTATGTTTGTCTTATTTATATAGAGCTCAAGTCAGTGAGAGTGAATTGTCAATGTCTTGAAGTGACTAACTTGTTTTCCTGGATTCCTCCTTGAGCTCACCTTGGCACCCAACTCTTTGATCCAATCAGTCAAGTCTGGAACAAACACCTATGTGTTCACTGTTGACAAAACAAGCTGAGTTCTGTGGTGACCCATTAGGATAAAAGGACCCATGTGTCCCAGCTTCCACCGAAGTCACCTTCCTTGGAGCAAGACACCATGACCAGCCAGTCTCAGGGGATCCAACAGCTCCTGCAGGCAGAGAAAAGGGCCAAGGACAAGCTAGAAGAGGCAAAGAAGAGTAAGTGTCACCCAAGGGGCTGGTCAGAAAGTGCAAAGGGATGCGGGAAAGGACCCCTGGCTTCCTTGTCAGGCAGACCTGTGTGTGAACAGTGCCAATACCACTTTCCCAGTAAAAGCTTAAGCCATGAGCAGGAACTATGCAGACGTATGTTCCACATGCCACAGCAGGAATGGGTTTTTGTTAATTGGACTGAAGGCTTTTGAGAGGCCATGTGCTACGTGAATATCTCCAAGGCAATAAGGTTATAAATATAGACTTAAACCTACCTCTGCATCTTCTTCTGCACCCCCGCACCTCAGTTGGCACAATACTGTGAAATGGTGAAGAGGCATTCTGATCAACTTTCTGATCAAGTCCATCACTAGGCAGTAACTGTCTTCCTCTTCCTTGTGGTGAATTAAGTTTCCTGAACACTCAGCCACGTAAGCAAGAACAACAGAAGACTCTAGTGGGAGTGACGGCAAAGGCAGGGAAGGAGGAAGATAAGTTAAATCAAATTGCTCGATGCTTTTTGAGCAGCTGTTTCCAGTTCCAATAAAATGCAATAACATTTACAGTTTGTTTTCTCTCTCTAGATAGCTTTTACATCCCAACATTTTAAACATTTCTGTTTTAGTCTCATTTGCTGCCTTCTGATTTAAATATATATCTATATGTTTCCATGTGTCTTCGATAAACTTTGACTTTCTTCCTACTCTCATTGACATGAACAGTATAAGTAAGGCATCAATATTATTTCTAATTCATGAATGCAAAAAATTGGGTTTTATGATTTGCCCAAGGTAATCTTTTAAAATCAAAACTATGGCATCGGCTATCATGCTCAGTATTTATTTTGTTTACTTTTCACAATGATCTTTGTGGAAAAAGAGGAGATGATGTTAAGCAGCATTTCACAGTATGCTCAGGGTCACACAGAGAAGGCTTGAAACAGACAGGAGTTGGACCAGGTCTCAGTCTGCAGCCAGCTCCTGAACAATGCAGTATAGACAGTCCATATAGTTTTTGTTCCCCAAGCCAAGATGCATGTTTTTCCAGGATTCTCTCTCCTGTCGTTTACTAATATGTAACAATTTGAAGTGTCATTCATCTTCAGCATATTTCCTGCTTTGTCTGCAAATAGATTCAAAATTGGATAGGAAAGGACCTGTGGTGTCTCCAAAATGTTGCTTATGCGACTTTTGGGATATCAGACAGAAAGCAGGTAGACAGTGTTCGTTCCCTGATGGTTACAGTCACAGTAAAACCCTTCCCCTTTCTTATGGAGAATTGGTTTCTGAACATTCATTCATGTGACCACCAACAATAGAAGAGAAGTCTCTAGCATGGTGATAGCAAAGACAGGGAAGGAGGAAGACACTTGAAACCATTACTGACACTCTACACCCTTTTTCTGTGACAAAACCATGCATGCAATTGCAAGAGAGCGTGAATGTAATCACGTTATAGAAAGCCAAACAGTCCAGAGCTTACCAATTTAAACAGTATAGAAAATTCTCAAGCCTTATATTCAAATATCTCTACTCTCATTTAAAATGTCTGGAATTTCAACCTATTATAAGATACAATAGAGATGTTATCTTTGCTCCAAGGTTGGTACTGGGCACATACACGATCAATATTATTCTGATCAATATTATTACCAACTCTACTCAAAGAGCTTGAGGAGAAATATCACTAACTATTCAAGTTGTTTATGAGTGAGTGCCACTAAGGACACTGTGCCTTTGAGTTCATAGTGAATATAAAAGTCAAGCGTCTTCTCCTCTGTCAATGACTATGCTGACCTTGGGAAATCATTCCTCAGAAATCATATTGAAACTGCATATTATCTGTGCTCCAAAAAAGCCATTTAATTTTTTTTAAATATTTCTTTTTTTTAATTTATTTATTTTATTTATGAGTACACTGTAGCTGTCTTCAGACACACCAGAAGAGGGCATTCAATCTCATTATGGATGGTTGTGAGCCACCATGTGGTTGCTGGGATTTGAACTCAGGACCTCTGGAAGAGCAGTCAGTGCTCCTAACCACTGAGCCATCTCTCCAGCCCCAAAAAGCCATTTAATTAACTGATACCTTTCTCTCTCTCTCTCTCTCTCTCTCTCTCTCTCTCTCTCTCTCTCTCTCTCTCTCTCTCTCTCTGTATATACAAATTTATTTTATATACCATGTTTTGGCTCATGAATATCCAAGCCAGTAGTCACCCCAAGAGTTATTAATAACCATCTAATCAGCCTATAATAGTAACTGGCACAGATTTTAAAACAATTTGAAAAATATATGACTCTCAGCACTGGTGAGCTAAGACTTCCAGAGCATGTCCGGATGTCCTCTTCATGCCATGAAGAGACTTTGACATAGGTTGCAGCCAACAGGGCTGTTTTGCCCCTCCCTGTCAGCAGGTGGCAGTTTGATTACAGCAGCACCAGCCTTTACTCAGTTCTTAAGTGATCTGTGACCAAGAGAATTACCACTGTACACGCTCAGTGTGTGGCCCCTTCTCTCATGTTCCCGTAGATTTTATTTCATTCATTCAGTTGGGTGACCATTCATGTGGTACTGTTGATATAGCCTCATGAGTAGACCTCAGTTTTTCCTTAGTGAAGTACTTGGTGCGTTAAAGACTGAGTGAATGCCAGTTCAAAAAATACAAAGGAAAAACAGAGACACATATAGTCATCATTTAATAAGCATATATACATCATTTTCCCAGAAATTTTTTATTTGAAAATGTAATATATAGGCAGAACAGAGATTTGGAGTAAAGTAGATCACCATCTCTTTCTTACATTTATTTGAAAGTCAGAAACTCAAAAAGTTGCTTCAGTATGGTCAGTGAGTACACTTTCGTAAGAAAGAGAAACAAATAGGAAAGGAGGAAAGAAAAGGAGAGAGAGAAAAAAGTAGTTAGCATTATTTACTGTTTACTGTTTTAGGAAAAAAATCTAAGAGCAAAGAGGTTATGGCATATATATATATATATATATATATATATATATATATATATATATATATTGCTGGAAAAACATTAAGTTAGCCCATTAGACAGGCCTGACTTAGATCCCAGCAAGGCCATTACATAAGAGTTTATAAATGCCTGGATGGGTGTAGTTAAAGGACTGTAGACATGGTACACCAGGAATTCTCCCAAAGTTGGTGAGGCCTGTCCCAAGCATCTCTCAAGGCCCTCACTGGAGACTAACAAGATCCTTTGAGGAGAACAGGCAAGGATGCAGAACAGATGGAAGAGTCAAATTATAAGGGAGCAGAGAAGAAAATCCATCCACTGGAGTGAAACGTCTGTATTTCTTGATGTAATATTTTGAGTCTCTGTGTCCATACAAATATATTTTGTGTGGCTATAGTTGTCTTTACAATCTATACACGATATTTGAAGGACAAAAAAAATGTATACTACTATATATATTAGACTGCAAACAAGGTATAACTGAATATATAAATATATTTTGTTTTTCTACCTATTCTAGATGTATAGTCCCCTAAATAGAAATGACAGGGAAATGGTGTAGAATGGAGGAGAGCGATCTTATCACTTCTGTTTAGCCCTACTGTAAGGTTAGGAACTACATTTCCTATGCAGGGAAACCTTGACAGAAGATGGCTAAGCCTACCATGTAAGGCTCCGATGCATACTCTTACCTGCTACAAGCCATGGTGCTTGTAAAGGGACATCCGGCTTAGTGTGCTTTGCTGTACTTAGAGTCAACATTTGCTCTATAAGTGTTCATTAATCAAAACAGAGCCGTATGTTACTCCATAAGAACTTACGCTTTTTTACAAGGGAATGTCATAGACTTGCCCCAGAGGTCCAGATCTAGGCATTGAGTAGAAGTATCGTAATTGAATCAGAAATCCAAAATACCAGCATCAACAGGATGGGCAAGAGACTTGTCCGTCTCAGAAATAAATAGTTTTGTGGCATTTACACCCTTGCAAATGAGAATACTGCAGAGTTCCATGTGCAGGTAGCTCTTTTGAAATGTCCCCATGCATGGAGTTCAACATCATACAAAATGCCTGTATGTTTAAACTATTTTATAGCACATGCAGATGACCTTTTACAAACACCGGTCACCTGCTTTTCAAGCTACAGAGAATGGCATATGTGTTCACTTAAAAGCTATAAACCGCATCATATGATGTACACCAAAAGTTATGGTAAACACTTAAACATTTACATCTGGATATGAGAAAGACAGAACAATCAAGGACATTTTAAACCTTCCCTGGAGCTACAGACAATTAGAATGTGTAAAGGACAAACCCTCCTGCTTTCTACCATGCTCAGTCCTCCCTGCAAGGAGTCTGGTACAAATCCAACTTCGGCTTCTTAATGACTGCATGGCCCCAGCAGGTCATTGTCCTCACCTGACTGTGGCCACTTCCTCCATCTCAGAATACCTCTGGGAACAGTACCTCCTCATGATGTGGTCTCGAGTGAGTAACTGAGCAAACGTTTGCAAAAGATTCTGAACTTCCCTCCCCATAGCAAAGGCCCAGGAAATCTCATCCATTAATAGTACTCCAAAGAATAAACAGAATTTCCTTTGAAAGAACCTCAAGAAGTTGATCTTCATGATCTTCTGTCATCCGAGTCTCTCAGTGAATCATTGTGATGCAATATATACTTAAGAAACATCTCTACTTTCTACTTAGGTAACATCTGCTCACACAGCCCTCCAGTCTTGCTCTTGTAGGTATTCCACTTGACAGTTTTTGTAAGGCAGCAAATCTCTCATTTGTTTCCAAATCTGAAGGTAATCAGGTTTTTTGAACAAGCTCCTTTTTTTAATAAAATCTCCACTCTGAAACTAGATGTTTTGGTTTGTGAATACATGACTTTTAATAAACCAATAAAATAAAATCCGTATATAAAATTTCATGGCCCTGTCTTATATACTTTGCAGGCCTGTAAATACTTCCTTTTCCTTTATGATTCACCCACTAATAGAGTACTTCTTGAGTATATTGTGTTCT